CGGGGTTTCACCATGTTGACCAGGATGGTCTCAATCTCTTGACCTCGTGATCCACCCGCCTCGGCCTCCCAAAGTGCTGGGATTACAGGCTTGAGCCACCGCGCCTGGCCTTTATTTGATTTTTTTGAGACAGAGTCTCACTCTGTTGCCCAGGCTGGAGTGCAGTGGCATGATCTCCTCTCACTGCAACCCCTGCCTCCTGGGTTCAAGCAATTCTCCTGCCTGCCTCAGCCTCCGGAGTAGCTGGGATTACAGGCACGTGCCTCCACTCCCGGCTAATTTTTGTATTTGTAGTAGAGATGGGGTTTCACCATGTTGGCCAGGCTGGTCTGGAACTCCTGACTTCAGGTAACCCACCTGCCTCGGCCTCCCAGAGTTCTGGGATTACAGGCGTGAGCCACCCCACCTGCGACAGCCTTTAGACAATAGCCCCTCTACTCCAGCTCCACCCTCACCCCCATCAGCAAAGGCCAAGTGGAAAGCCTAGACCTCCACCCTTGCTAGGCAGTAATAAAGTACTCCTTCCCTTCCCCTCCAGGGTGATTTAAAAGAGGCCTAGTTTTCCACTCAGGGCTTTCATCCATAACCAAGGCCATCACTCCCAACAATGTCAATGGAGACCCACTCCTTCTCCCAGATGATTTGGTATCAGTGAAGGCCTAATAGAGAACCTGTACTCCCACCCTTGCGCCGCAGTAAGAAGGAGCCTTGCCGCACTGGGTATCAGTGGAGGCCAAGTGGAAAAGCTGGACTTCCACACCCTCCTGGTAATAATGAGGTGGCATCTGCACTTTCCCCACAAAAACAGTGTTAGAAGAGGCCTGCTGAATCACAAGCTATAAAGTAAGATCCAGAGGCAGGGTGCAGTGGCTCATGCCGGTAATCTCCAAGCTTTGGGAAGCTGAGGTGGGAGGATTGCTTAAGTCCAGGAGTTCAAGACCAGCTTGAGCAACATAGGGAGACCTTGCCACTACAAAAAAACAAAAAACAAAAAAATTAGCTGGGCATGCTGATGCCTGCCCATAGTCCTAGCTACTTGGGAGGCTGAGGTGGGAGGATTGCTTGAGGCCAGGAGGTTGAGGCTCCAGTGAGCCATGATCACCCCACTGCACTCCAGCCTGGGTGATAAAGTGAGACCCTATCTCAAAACAAATAAATAAGGTCCAGAGTCTTATAACATAATGTGCAAAATGTCCAGGTCTTAATCAAAAGTCATTTGAACCAGACCCAGAAAAATGTGAATAAGAAAAGATAATCTAGGCCGGGCGCGGTGGCTCAAGCCTGTAATCCCAGCACTTAGGGAGGCCGAGGCGGGTGGATCACGAGGTCAAGAGATCGAGACCATCCTGGTCAACATGG